CGAAGTCGTCACCGTAAATGGCCTCCAATACCATGAGCTCGTTCTCTTGCAACTCCTCATACTCGATTTTCGGGGTGCCGGCGGCTTCTGGGCTCGTGACCTTGAGGCCAGGGAAGCTCGAGTCATCTTTGGCGGGCTTGGGCAGATTGATGATGGGCTTGTTCCACGCCCCAGATGATTTCCACGCCATTATGAGACGATGAAGGGAGCGAAAGGGGTCTCACAGCATAAGCTGTGAGTCCTTACTGTGGGAAGCTCATTTTCGTAAGTGTACTGGTGACTGATAATAGGTAAAAAGTGGTGTTGAATGAGCAAAGCGTCACCCACATGTCGAGACTTCCACTGGCCTTGAGATCAGCACCCTGCACAAGGGACCCTTAGGCTGCAAAGCGCTACCAGCCCAGCTGATAATAGCGGGGTCGTTGCAGGGCAGCGGCCTTCCCTGTGTGACGTGGTTCTGCCCGGCGGCCCGCAATTCGACACGCAGGCCTGCCAATCAAAAGGACTACAGCCTCTAGACGCTGGAGGCCTTTCGCGACTCCTCCTCTAGCCGTTTGGGGTAACCAAGTAAACAATACACCAGGCCTCGATGAGACCGAACCCCAGATTCTCCCCATTACAAACACCCCACGACCCCGACGACATTTGCGACAACCCATCTTGAAAAGCGCGTCAGAGGCGAGCATGTCGCTGTAGACGTACACGGACAGGCAGCCGACGGCCAGCACGTACGTGCGGATGTGGAACTTGCGGCTGTCCGTGTTGAGGAGCAGCGGCGGGTGGATGTACGGCTGGGCGACAAAGTGGCGCAGGTGCGATGTCGTGATGTAGTCACCGCTGCCGTCGCGGGCGCCGCCGCCGGCTTCTTCCCCCTCTCCGTCTCCGTCTTCGTCTTGGTCTTCGCCGGCATCGCTGTCGGGCCTGTCGGCCTCCCATCCGTCAAAGATGGCCTGCAGCTCGTCCTGCGTGCTGAAGAGCCGAATGCCCTGGCCGCGGTCGCTCATGCCGGGCTTCAGGATCCACCAGTCCCGCTGCGCCGGGTCGTCCTTTTCCTCGTTCCGCTCGAGGCTCTCGCGCAGGTCAAAGGCCTCGACGAGGGCGTCGTCGAGAAACTCGGCGTAGTCGAGCTCAAAGTGCTCGCTGCGCTTGACGCCCGTGGCCAGCGACGAGGACGGGTGCTTGGCGGACCACGTCTCCACCGTCGCGGACAGGTAGTGCTTCCGGATGAGAGCTTGCGGATCATGTAGCTGTTGATGAGCACGGTGGACGAGTGGTCGGCGGCGTACTCAAAGTCAAGCGTCTCGTAGGGTGCAATCTGCACGAGTTTGGCTGTCGGCGAGGGGACAACGTTCGCCAGCGACAGGACTTCATCGGCTGACGAGGATGGCGAGTGGGGTAGCAGCTCCCAGGATCCCTCGGGCAGGAGTGAGTTCATGGCGTCCAGAATCAGGGGCTGGACGTATTCGTCGCCGTAATCGACAACGGCGTAGCACGTGGCCGTCTCTGCCTGTTCCGGCTTCTGGGCCTCGGCGGGCCTCAGGGGTAGTTGCTGGCTGCTCGTCTTGGCCTCCTCCTCCCGGGACGGCGAACTAGTAAACACAAGCGTAAGACTTTGCTCTATTATATGGGTTCTGCCGGTTTCTGCGTAGAATACAGGCAAGCAAGCGTTGCTTGGTGGGGTGGGGGATTTTGTCCTCGCTCGGCCACAGTCATGTCCGTCTGTTGCTCGTCGACCCCGAACCCGGCGCTAGAGCTGACCCTCCGTATATCTCGCATCTCCAGGTGCCCGCTCCCTGCTCAAGAGAAAGAAAAAGGGGGGTCCAAAAAGCAAGGCGTATGTACTCACAGAACCAGCTCTTTCTCATGCAGATGCTCCGCGGCGTGCCAGAAGTTTGCCTTCAAGGCCGTGACGCTGTGACTGTCAGTGGAAGATCCTGAAGACGAAGAGAAGAGGGGGTAAAAAAAAAAAAAAAAAAAAAGAAACATAACCGGGAAAGTGCAGACGAGAGTTTTCTCACCTTGTGTATCCCTTCTCGACAGCCCAGCCATCGTTGCCAGGCGGCGCATCCTCGACGCTCTTGTAGACGCCGGCAAAGGACGGCGCCCACTTGAAGTGCCTCTGTCTGTGCTTGTGCAGCAGCTCGTCCGCTTTCCTCTCGCCGCCCTGGACCTCGCCGCCCTGCCCCTCGCGTATCCTCTCCTCCTCGACAACCTCGTCGGCGGCGTCGCCGTCGAGCTCCTGGAAGCAGCCGGCGTCGTGCCAGTAGTTCTGCAGCACGCCGGTCCACAGCGTCTTGTGGGTCTCGACGCCCTCGACGAGCGGCACGTTGACGCTGTAGAGGTCGACGCTGGCGTCGGCGGGCAGTCGGCGTACAGCTTCTCAATGACGCGGACGCCGTGGCGCGCGGCGCCGCCAATGATGACGGGGTCGTGGTTCCGCGAGAAGAAGGCATAGCTCAGGGCGATGGCCTTCTTGCCGCAGATGGCGCCCTCCATGGCGCCGCCGAGGGTGCCGCTCGACAGGGCAAAGACGGCCGTCGTGTTGCGGCCGTAGTTGGGCCCGCTGACGACGAGGTCGACGGGGCCGCGCTCGGCGAAGAAGTGGTGCAGGCCGATCTGGACGCACGAGGCCGGCGTGCCGTCGACGAGGACCCATTCCTTGTCGGCGTCAAAGGTGCCGGGCGTCGCGGGGTCCGACGTCGTGGGCCGCGTGTGGATGGTGCCCTCGGCGTCATCGCCGTACAGGTTCGGAGACGGCGTGTAGTAGACGGGCTTGACGGACTGGCCGATGATGTGGGCCTTGCCGATCCAGGAGCGCTGCGTGTGAGGGAGGCAGACCGAGACGGTGTGGCCCGCCTTCTTGAGCTCGGCAACGAGGGAGGCGACGTAGGGGGACGAATGTGGCGAGGGGGGACCGTCGTCGTTGGTCACGAGGATATGCATGGTGTCTTGTCCTGTGTCTACCGATGCAGAAACTTAAAATTTGAAATGCCCAAGACAGCCAGCGAGAATGAGATGAGATGAGATGAGGAGTGATGGAGGTGACGTGAGGGTAAGACCGAGAGAGGAGGGGTCGTGAAGAAGATGGTGGCGGTTGAGCGTTGTGGGTCGAGCGAAGTGGGATGCAATAGTGGGGTTCGTTGATGCTCATCGACGCCCAATCCACGCCATTACGCTATTGCCTCGGAACGGACCGGCCTACATGTACATTCTCTTGGTCTCTTTCTCTTCCTTGGTTCTCTTCCTTGGGAAAAGATGTGTTGCGTGGTCGCCGTTGGCTGTTGGTCATCAAATGGTCCGGTTTTGTGACAGCTGTTTGTTCCATGACACAACACGCAAAACATCACGTAACGGATGGCTAAACAAATTGGTACAAGCAAGTCGTATTGAGGGGGAATCATTCTGTCATGCCTTGCCCTGACCTGACACCGCGAGCCTGCTGCCAACCTACCTACCTGAGGAAGAAAAAAAAAAGTTGCTACCTACGGGGTTTTGTTCCCCTCCGTCGAAACCCATTCCCATATCTGACATGACTGGCAACAGGGCGTAATTACACTTCGCTCCTTTTCTCCCTTGATGCTATGCCTCGAGCGGGCCACAGCGGATATCCGTTACCAGTCATCATGTGAAAACAGAAAGAAGAAAACGAAAAAAAAAACCAAAAGGCCGAAAGAGGGCCCCGCAAACCAAATGCGTCATGTAGAGAAGTGTACACAAAAAACCTCGGACACCGGCGCTGTCTGCTCTTCCAGCCAACGGAAAGAAAGAGAAGTGACATTGACAGCCAGTCATGTCCAGTCAGGTGAAACATCATCGTGATTCGCCATGTGTCGAGGAAACAGAAGATTACCGAAGCGAAGTAGAACAAGGCCAGAGAACCACAGAGAACAAATCAGAGCCCTAGATACAGCTAGGACCTGGTGCGTTTGGGTGTGGCTGCGTTGAGCTCGTCGCTGGCAGGCCTCTTTGTCGTACGCTCTGTGCTGTCAGGTCGGCTCTTGACACGACGCCAATCTTCGAAGAGCGTGCGGCCCGTCTTTGCTCTGGAGGGTGTCGCATCTTCGCCCTTGGAGAGGAAGCGAGTGGTGCGGCGTGTCCCAGGAGGCGTGGCAGCGGGGCCGAATCGGGGTGCCGCAGGAGTGGCGGGGCAGGACTCTTCGGCAGCTGGCGTCTCGGGCGTCTCCTCGACCTTGTCCTCCTCATCCATGTGATGATCCTCAATGTCGGTGAGCGCTTCCTCATCCTCGGGGGTAACGAGAATCTCGGGGGGCTCAGCGCGCTGGAACAGGCGGCGGGGCTTGATGGATGACCGAGTGAGGGGGCGGCCGAGATGAGCCTCCAGTGCCGCCTCCTCGTCAAGGCCGTCGTCGTTATCGGCGAACTTGCGGAACACCTTCTTGCCACGGCTAATTTCACAGTCAGCTGCCAAGCTCACAGGGAAGGAACGAACGAAGGAGTACTCACAAGACATAGACCATTCCGTCCTCACGCTGAAGAGCCTCATCCACGTGCTGAGCGCCTTCTCCAGGCACGGTCACCTTGCGCTTGCTCCGGCGAAGGCGCGGTTCGGGCTGCACCTCCGCGTGGGAGCCGTAGAAGGGGTTCTCGACGCTGTTGTCGACCTCAGGCACGCGGTCGTGCGAGTCGGTGAAGATCTGGATATCGTCTTGCACAGCCTCGGCGGTGAAGCTCTCCAGAGACATGCCCGTGTACTTCTTAGGTGTACGCTTCTTGCGGGGTGTTGTCAGAGCGTCCTCGTCAACAAACAGATTGCGGGCCACAGCCTCGATACTCGCGGCCTGCGTCTCGGTCGGCGCCTTCCTAGGGGTCTTCACAGGCGTGGGCAGCATGCCGGAGCGGCGGTGAAAGGCTGCCGTTCGCGATTCGTCCTGCTCCTCCTTGTCTTGGCCGAGGGTCTGAGCAACGCTCCTTGACGATGACGCGCGGTGCACGGCATCGAGAGCAGGAAGGCGCCTCTTCTGAGGCGAGAAGGCGGGCGACATGATGGCTGTCGCGGCGACGGCGGATTTCCTGGTCGTGCGAGGTGTGCGGTGAGATGAGGAGGGAGAGGGCGTTCGGTGGGTTGCGCGCTGCGAAGAGATGCGAGCTGACTTGCGCGGCGAGTAGGGCTCCCAGTGGTCGCTGTAGCCGTGCTTGGGTGTGGGAGGAGTGCGGATGCCTGATGGCTGGGGTGAAGGTGTCGAGGTTGCAAAGGTCGCCATGGCTGCGGCGTTGACTAGCCTTGGAAGGCAGTCGCGGATGAATGGGCTATTGTTGTTCCTTTGTGGGCGCCGATGTTGAGCCTTCCTTCCTCGTCAGGTGCGCTGTGTGTGCAATGTCCAAGTGGGAGTGCGTTCGATGTCGGTTTTGGTCTCCGGTCACAGTTGTGGATGACCTCCGAGTTTTCCAAGGGATGGCCGTCGGCGGGGATCCACGAGCCGCTTCGAGTGGAATCGGTGAGCGCGTATGGGACGCTGATGGACGCAGAACGAACAACAGATGACTATCGATATGGAGAATCCGAGGTATCGAACACGATGAGCGCAAAGCAGTGGAAATTGAAACTTGTCGGTGTTGTCGAGCGATGTTGAGGTGACAATGATGCTGGTCTGGGTTGTTGCTGGGTGGTTACGAGGTGGGTTGTGGGAATGGAATGCAGGATTGGACGAGCGGAACAACATGGCGCCAGGGGACGTGAGCGGGACTTTGACATTGATGGGTGCAGACACACAGACGTGGACAGATGCGGTGGCTGGTGGATACTCCCAGCCTCCCTCATTAACTCATTAACCAGCCCCATTTCTCATTAAAACCTAAGCGGGTCCGCCCTGCCACCGCGTCGACGCGTGTCATTTTCGCGTTTGGGCTGTAGTGGCCCGTGCACACACCTCCACCAGTGTGCGACCCCTCACTAGCCATCCCACCTTCAAACCCCTGACAGTCAGTAATCGGTACGGTGTCGCAACAAAACAAACAGAACGTCACTGCCTTCCCTGAGACAAGGTATCTCGGAACTTTGGTCATCGTCCTCGACAATCCTGCCATTTTCCGGCTGGCTGTCCACACCTGAGTGAGCGATATTACCCTGCGTTCGAGGACACCATGTCAGATCCGCTTGACGATTCGACAACCGACATCTGGGCGTCTCCGGACCAGAACGAGCCCGCCGACCGACCCAGGACCCCCAGGACGCCCAAGACACCCAAAACGCCAGTGCTCAGGACACCTGCCAACCAAGACACCGACGAATACGACCGAGACGCTGTCTTGCGCAAAGAATTGGAGGGCGTGCGCACCATCAATGCCTCGATCGAAGGCATCATAAGCACGCTCGAGAAGGCCAAGAGCAACATGGGTGTATGTGGCCCCGACTGTCACGTCAGAAAGATGATGGAGCTGACGTTCTTCTCTTCACCCCTCTCCAGACCGTTTCCAACACCGTCGGCAACGCATCAACGCTCCTCAACACCTGGACTCGTATCCTATCCCAGACCGAGCACAACCAGCGCCTCATCCTCAACCCCGAGTGGCGCGGCGCAACACAGGACATGCAGGAGATGGAAGCTGAGGCGCTTCAGAGGCAGCAGGCGGCCGAACGCAAGGCGGCCGAAGACGAGCGCAGGAGAGAAGCCGCCCGTCGCAAGCGCGAGGAGGAAGAGGCCGAACGCACGAGGCCGACGATCGGCAGGACACCCAGCGTGCGCGGTCGCGGTACAGCACGGGTCAGGTCTCGCGGCACGCGTGGCACCATGCACACCCGCGGCCCCAGTATCTCGGGAACCACAGGAAGCAGGATCGGCAGGGGCGCCTCAAGCACAAGTACGCGGGCCGGATCCCGCGGACGGGGCACCACGTAGCGCGCTGTGAGAGTAGAGGAAGGCAAGGGGGCTGCTGGGCTTTGCGCATTGTGTGTGATTTTGTACGGGATACCCCAAAAGAATCTGTTTCTTCCTGCAGTCCTATTTTTTCTTGAAGAAGTCGCTCATCTTCTTCATGCCCACTGTGTTGACTTTTTGGAGGTTTTTGACCCCCCGGCTCTGGTTGGCCTTCCTCTTCTTTTCGTCTTCCAGCTTCCTCCTCTTTTCAGCACGCGCTTCTTCTTCCTCCTCATCCATGTGTCGCTTTGCGGGGAGTAGTTTGACGTCGACATGGATGCAGCGGCCTCGATGCGTAGTCGTGTGAGCTCTTCGAGGTAGGCATTCAGGGGCGCAAAATTCACCCCTGAAACCTCGGGGTCCAGCAGATGCGTCTGAAGACGATTTGTGATGGCTGGAGTGGCGTAGCTGGCGCAGATGAAATCCAGCGCAACCCTGAGCTTCTGTAACGCGACCACATCCTCAGGGGCTTTCGCCGTGCTCAACACAGCGTCCTCGGTCGCTTCTTCGTTGACGGAAGTGGCCGTAGTGGAGGCCTCCGACACAAAGGATGCCGAGGTCTCGAGAGTCGTCGCAGAGGCTTGAGAATCGGCAGACTCGGTGCGCGGTGTGGAAGGGCCCGGCGTCGAGACGTCATCGGATGCTGGCTTCGTCTCGACCTTGGCGGCATTGCTCTTTTGCAGTGAGAGTGGGGCCTCGAGCGGCTTCTTGACAAACCTCTCCTCCATGCTCGGAGGAAGCACTGCGCCCATAGCCTTTGCCTTGCTGATCATGGTATCCGCAAACTTCTTGTCGCTCACGCGGAACATCGTCTCGTCTCCGGCATCTACGGAGTCGCAAATAACGGCCATCCTGGCCTCAAAGTGTGATCTTGTCTTCGGACACCTGAGAACTTCAGACAGGTGCGAGGACGAATCGGAGATGGCGTCGAAATGGTCATCGCTGGTCAGAAACAAGCGCTTCGCATCGTCCTTTGTTGTCGCAGGGCCGAAAAGAGCTGGGAGCATGAGAAACAAGGGATCAAAGGCTGTCGCGATGAAAAGGTCGGCGCCATTGGTGATTTGGGCTTGCCACTGAGAGCTGCTAGCGTCTGGGGTTCCGTTTTCGAGATCACCAGGTTTTGTCTCGATGAGCCAGCTTCGCGGTGTGGTTTTCGGAGCCGCAATCTTTGTGAACTCATAGATTCCCGTCTCCGGACAGACGAGATATCGACTAGGTTTTGCGTGTCGTGGATGCAGTAGGGAGACGATTCGCGCTGCCTTGGTAGCCTTTGTCGGAAGTATGAACACCTTGGGCGGGTTTGCCGCTTCTTCAGGTAGAGAATACAGGGTTTTTGGCGCTGAGGCCTCGCTGGTGTCGGGCTTTGCGCTTGGAGCCGCCTTTGTTGCTCTCGTTCTCGCCATTGTTGCAATCTGTTTATGAGGTTGTGCTCTTGCGAGTCTGTTGAGCGTCGGAGGGAAGTTGAAGAGTATTGAGCAGGATTAATATAGCATCGCAAGTCAAGAAAAGAAGGGAACGATTGGAGAGCTGGAGACAACGTCAAGAAAGGTATGCACAACAACGGGCCGCTGGGTTGAGCTTGGACAAAGTGTTGCAGGTATACGCTGTGCTTCACTCGGCGCGTTACTGGCCATGAGACGCGTTGATGGATGCCAAGTGGGACGCGTCCCCAAGGCCGAGGACGCGCAGGACATAGACCCCATTACAGCCCGCTACTTTAGTGCACAGGCGCCCGTAGACACTGTAACACAACGTGATGGACGGCCACGACTCCAAAGCGGCGAGGGAACCCCGACGTGCTTCATCTCCCTTCCCTGAGCCCAGACCAACACGCATCCTTATCGTAACCCGTGACAAGCAATCGGGGCTTTTCTGACGTGTGATAACGATTTCGATTTTGGCATTGCTTCAATTTATCTATTCCTTCAAGAAGCTTGGTACATCATCAGGTTATCCAGCCTCTCCACTTCACTTCGTTGCATTACTCCCCCTTCCATCCCAGCGCGAGGTCCATCCAGCTCGAAACCGTTTGGCGCAGGTTCGTCGGCGGAGACCTGCCGCTGTTGGCTCTGCCATCCTGGTCGACGACATTTGGGACTGAGATGCCTGTCGTACTATAGCCTGGCAAACTTTGTTATTAGAGGAGACGAAGAACGCGGACAGGGCCTTCCTCTTAGCAACAGCAGTATTGGCAGCAGCAACAGAAAGAATACCAGTCCCCGATCGATAACGTTGCGCTCAGCGTAATGCCGCCCCGTTCGTCGCATCAGTCTGCAGTGAGATTTCGCCGAATGGCACAACTGACATGGCTGCAGCTCCCCCCGTCGACGAGCCTCAATGGCCTCCGCGATCCCCGCACGAAGCCCTCCTCAGCACTCCCGGCGGCCGCGAACGATACAGGCGCATGAACAACCGTACATCACCTTCCCCGTCTCCCTTGAAGAAGTCAAGGGCTGTCGGCTTGGGTGCGTCAAGATCTGACGGCGCGCCAGCTGGCGGTGACGACGCCACGGGTGACGAGGAAGACGATGAGGAAACATTGGAACTCAAACTCCAGGAAATCCAAGCGAGGTTGAGGTTGAAGAAGCTCCAGAGCGCAAAGGCCAAGAAGACAGAGGCGGGACCAGCATCACGGCTCGAGGACTCGCCCTCAATACCTAAAAGAACCGACGCGGAACACCGATCCGCATCCCAACGCCCCATCGAAGTCCCCGCATCACCTGTGCGCAAGGCACGGCCAGACCCGCCGCAGACGTCACCCCGTGTGTTGCTGGGAATCGAGGGCACGACGAGAGCAATATCTCTGAAGAGAGCGCCGAGCGTCCGGAGGAATCCAGACTACGGAAACAACCAGCCGCCCCATCAGCCCCAGCAACAGTCTTTCGGGGGGTATCTCAAGAGGTCGCAAACACCAAGCTCCAACGGCGCCTCGGCGCAGCGTGCCCCTGAGGCCATTCGACCCATGAGCTTCAATGAGCGTCTGTCAGCCGCGCGAACGGAGGAATCTGGCCGAAACGACAAGCTGGCGCGGATCCGGCAGGTACGGACCACAGCGTTCGGGATCGGCCAGAAGGAGATTGAGGACCTGAAGAGCAAGGCCGTGGATCTGCCACCTCCACCACCAGAGGAGGCGCCCCAGTTCAGCCGCGAAGAGATCATGGGCGATGCAGCCCCGGGTGCATCTAAGCGCAAGGAGGAAAGGAAAGCTCCCGAAGACGTGCCTGAGACCGAAGCCACCTCCTTCGAGCCCTACTCCAGCTATCACCTCAAGAGACGCATCGTCCCGCATAGCATGCTGACGCGTCACCTCTCGGGCAAGAAGATCATGACGATCAAGGAGCTCTGTCAGCAGGTCAAGGCGCCGGACTATGAGCTCCCCGACATCGAGCAGGACATTGTCCTCTTCGCCATAGTCGCCAAACGTTCCGAACCCCGCGCGCACCAGCCCCGCCCCGACAGAAACGGCGTGCAGCAAGCCGACCGCGGCAAGTACATGGTTATCACCGTCGTGGACCTGGAGCTCGAGCTCGAGCTGTTCCTCTTCAACTCGGGCTTCACCCGCTTCTGGAAGATCGGCGAGGGCACCGTCATGGCCATCCTCAACCCAACCATCATGCCGCCGCCGCAGGGCCGCGCCGGCGCCGGTCGCTTCAGCGTAGTCATCAACTCGGACGAAGACACCATCATCGAGGTCGGCATCGCGCGCGATCTGGGCTCGTGCAAGTCGATCAAGAAGGACGGCAATCCCTGCGGCAGCTGGGTCAACATCAAGCGCACGCAGTTCTGCGAGTTTCACACCAACGAGGCCATCAGCCGGGCGCGCCACAACCGCATGGAGGTCAACAAGGCCGAGTTTGGCGCCAACGACCGCAGCGGCTCCCGCCTGCGCTCGCACGATGTGGGATGGAAAGACGGGCGCGACAAGTCGGACAAGGGCACCAAGGCGGGCTCGTATGACCGGTCGACGCACAGCCACTGGTTCGCCAGCAAGAGCATGACGCCCGCGGAGCTCATTGATGGCGCCAATCGGTTCGCCGACAAGCAGGAGCGCAAGGAGGGGCTGAAGCGGCGGCTCGTCGCACAGGAGAAGGAGAGGGACATTGTCGACCGGCTGACCAAGATCGGCAGCGGCGCGGGGAGAGACTACATGGTGCAGACAGGCCGGCAGCGTGACGAGGCAAGGGCCAGGGCTATCCCGGCGTCCGGGTCGTCGGCGTCGCTCACGTCCACGGCCAGCGACGCACCCGTCAAGCTAGATGTCAAGTCGCTGGGTCTACTAGCGCTCAAGGGTCGCGATGCGGTCCACCTCGGGCCCGTGAAGCGGAAGCGGCCGGACAGCTCGCAATCTATATCTACAGCAGGAGTTTCCACGGCGACAGTCAGCTCCGCGCGAGGAGCGGCGTTCGGCTGGGGCGGGAACCTCAAGGATAAGCTGGGCCGTATGAAGGAGGGGGAGAAATTCCAGCCTGAGAGTGACCGGCAACCGGTGCGGAAGAAGACGCGGTTTGTGACAGAAAAGGGCATTCGCGAGGCGGGACGTGAGAGTCTCGGAGATGCGCTGCCGGTGGATGCCGGGAGGAGAATGGTCACGCTCGACGATGATGACGATGACGAGTTGGTCATACTCCAGTAGTCCGTCATAGAGCTGTTTACGAATGAGCACGACGTTATGAACCTTACAGCCTGCTGGACTCGCGCTACGTGTGTGTGATCGATGCTGGCCAGTTTTTGCTCCAAAATGCAACTCTTGCTCACCAGAGAGGATCGCTAAAAATAAGTTGACCATAGTTTGTCGCATCGATCGTTTCGCAGTGAATCAACAAAATTCCGCTGCCTGCGACAGGAATGTAATATTCGCTTCCCATTTACTGGGTCTTCTCCAAGTCCTCATCGCGCAGCGGAGACGTTCGCCTCCGAGATGCCAGAACTTGATTTACTGTCTTGGTTTCGTTCCGCTCCTAAGCCTCGGAGAACGGCGCTCATAAAGTCAATTCAGGGACTAGAACCCATGAATGGCTGGAGGGGATATCGATCCGGAACTCACACTGGCTAGTTGTCTTACTTTGTCTGTGTGTATATCAGAGTGGGAGAGTGGGAGAGAGTGCTTGCTCAGGCGATGAGCTTGGTAAGACAACACGCGCTGCCCTAGAGCCTCTGACTACGATCATGAGATTGAAAGCTTTGCTCGGACAACAGCCCAGGACAGTATTCCGGCTTGTGCAACACAATGTCAAGTCACAGGCCTGCCGCCATTGCCATGTTGGTGCCAGTCTGGCGAACACCTGGGGGCCGCCCTGAGCGCGAGGCGTCGGCAATTTGGTACACAACGCAGCAAAGGTTGATGTAGGGTTTGGGTAACAGATTGGGGTGCAGGGGATACATTGCTGGAACGACATAAGAAATTGTTGGGTAAACCCATTCGCTGTGCTTGTTCCGCAGCTGGCCAAACCGCGAATCAACAGTGGGCAATTGAGGCGCCGACCGTGGCCGAGCCACTTGACCCAAGCCGCCAGGGAAGAAAAACTCACGATATGCGGCCGTCGGCAGGCTCAACGCTAGTGTCAGTATGAGCCGGCGGGCCGCACAGGCGGGACAGCCATGCCCGCGCCATGTGAGTCGGCCGATGAGCCTCACGATGGTTCACCCTGTCTGGCACATGTCGAGGGCAGGGTGAATTTGGGGTAAAGTGACGTACATCGTCAAGGTCAAGGGTCAGGGTCAGGGCACAACGCCAAGCCTGACCACGAAGGACCTCACGATAGGTGGTCCTCGCAGTCGCAGGCGTGCATGCATGTGTATGGTCTGAGGGATGTGACCCCTGAACCCTTTCGTTTTCTCCATACAGTTGTTGGCATGCACAAGACAAGAACCCCGCCCCCGCGTCGGGCTGGCTGTGGACAAAGTGGCTGAGGTTCGGGTCGGTCAAGCGAACAGGCTGGGTGATTTTGTGGTCGATTTTGCTGGAGGTGGGGGTGCTGCATCTCCCAGTGGTGAGCGCCCATGTACATAATCAAGGCAATCGTGTGTGAGGGTGTGCTGGATGCGGTGCAACGGGCGCAGACGGCACTGATGCACGATGGGGGTGGGGGGAAGGCCCGTGAACCTCGCTCTGTGGCTGAGGGATGAGCGGCCGTGGATGAGGAGTTGGTGTTGAGATTGGCGAAGACCAACAGGCCAGTGGCTCTCTTCGATGTGGCCAGGATTGGATATGGCATCCGGCTGATTGGGACGACTCGTAGCCAAACCAGCCCTTGTTTGCCCTGGATGTCTGGAGGGCCCCATCCCCGCGCAATCCCCGCGTTTCCACCACTCTCCAACAGTGGTGAACCTCACGTGCGTGAATGTGGGTGCGGGCTGTGGGCGGTAGAATGATCTCTGCGTGTCTGCATCTCCGTGTGCGGTGTTGTGTGTGCTCGTCTCGCCCTCGGGAAGAATGTCGGCGAACGAGGCTGCAGTACCATCTTGGGCCTCTCTTGGCCATGTTCCGCCGGTCTTGCCATCCCCGAGGACGAGGCATGGGCCAGGGCGAGAGATATCGGAGTGAGCCGGGTGGTTCCTGCCTGTGTTGTCCTGCGCCATTTCCTTGACCCTCGCTCCTTCCCGCATCCGTGTTCCTCAACTCCGTTGTCGCAGTGCAAGCGACAGGCGGCAGGCGGCAGACGGCAGAGCGGTGGACAGCGAGCGGGCGAGCAGACAGGGCAAGAACCAGCACGGAGCAAGGATGGCGTCATGAGGGTATTGGCGCTACGAATTGATGACAGTCGGCAACAACGAACAACCTACCTATCTTAGATGCAGCATGCTGCACTCACAGAAGCATGCACACACGACACGCCAGCCATGTAGCCTGCCCGCGATGCGCTTGCGGAAGGAGCTCTCGTGGATGATACTATTGCATTGTACAATGGGGCGCCGCAAAGCCAAGGCAAAGGACGAGAGCGAATGCAAGACAGGGCAGCTGCGAGCATGGGCAGATATCCCAGCCTCTGACTCGACAGGGGTGGCCATTACGTTACAACTTCTTGAGGTGCCGCCAACCCAGGCGAAATGCGGCAGGGCCGTCCTTTCCTCTCACGTAATGGCAGCCCTCGGGCGCGGCTTGTTGCAGTGGCCATTATGTATTTCTGTCTCGTACGCTCCCCGCCACAGGCCTCGAAACAAGGTCTCCAGATGCGACAAGATAAGCTTGCGTCGCTAGGCGCGTTCTTTATCTTTTGGCTCGTATGGCTCGTTTGGGAAACCCAACTCTGAGGCGCCGTGAGGCCTGCGAAACCACGGCCGATTATTAGCAATGCCTCCGACGAATCCACCGTCACGGCCCCCCCTAGCCCCCCCCCCTCGGCGCCTGTCGACCGCCTGCCCCTCTCCCTCTCCTCCCTCCCCCCCAAAAGGAAAGCAGAGTGAGCGTCAAAGAGGCTGACTTTCGGCAGCCAGCGACAGGAGAGCCGGCGTGCACTGCGCTAGAGGCACTTCTGTACCTCCACATGTCAGGGACTAGCCCAGCAAGCTCCCTGCACCAGCACCACCCCGCTCCGGTAATGCTTCTGGATGACTGGCTCGCTGGCTCTGTGGTTCCCTGGCTCGCTGGCTCACTCGGGCGAAAGCTAGTCGTGCAGCAGACGTCACGGACGAACGTTTAGAAGGCGCATCCCCAATATGGGACTTCTACCGCATCCTGGAGCACCAGCCGGGCGATCGGCCCCTCCATCACTGCGATAAGCCCGTAGGCCGTGTCAGGTCCCGGACGCCTTTTGCTCTTGTTCTTCCATTAATTGATTCATCACTAGGGGGAAAGGGGGGGTGGGAGGGGCGCCAGACGAAGCCTACTCTCGTCGGTGCGACTGACGCCTGACTCTCTTGGCCCTTCTGGCTGGCCATTTTGTCCCTCAACGTCGTGTCGCCGTAGACCCGGCACCGTGACTGGAACTGGGACCCTCGAGAAGTCTGGGTGACGGGAGCGGGGGGGGGGAGGGCAAGCTCAGAGATGTCATCCAAGACGACGCTTGTTCTCATTTCGATAATTTGTCCGGTGTGGTCCAGTCTGATTCATCCATTCCCCATTCCCCAGTACCTTACCGACCCTGCCTGGCTTGCCTGGGTACTTGCCTTCTTCCCGTCTGGCGCGCCTCTTCTTTTGGTACTTGCCTTCGCCTGCCTGCCTGTCTTGCCTACCTGCTTGAAGTACCTAACCCAGCCAAGGTAGCAGCACCCTTCACTTACCTTTCCGTACCTTCTGCTTGGTCAACACAACCAACACAACTGGACCTAAACCCGTACGCTCAAGCCCAAGCCCAGGTGGTACCTCGCCCCGGAAAGCTTCCTTCCCAGACCCCTTACGTTCTTCGTCGAACGCCCCCTTCTGAACCGAACCTTCCTTCCTCTCTACCTCGCCCTTTCCCTCAACGCATTCCCTCTCTCTCTCTCTCTCTCTCTCTCTCTCTCTCTCCGCCTTCTTCTCTTCCTCTTCCCATCTCATCTACGATCAGCCTACGCCAGACCGCTTTTAAACCGCAGTCGCAAAGTAAGGCATCAATCATCCAAACCAGCCGAACCTGTGATTCTCGCCATGACCTCCGCTTGGTGTTGAGCAGACCGTGGGGATCGCAAAGCCACTGCATATTTCTTTGAATCGCGGTCCAATGACATACAAAACCCTGGCTTATCTCATCCTGGCTTCTGTCGTCACTTGAGATTCGTGCTCCGAACCCAAAGACGATAGCCTCTCTCTCCCCACAGCAGTGCGACACCACGCAGCGGCTTAGTGAGGCGGCCCTGGTCTTTAAATCCATTCGGCCTCTTGACAAACGCGACAGAGCTGACGAGCTGGAGAGAGTCGGCATCTGCCAAACGCCCGCAACCCAGTACCAACGTCGAGGCACGCCCACTCTAGCTGCGGCCGGGTTATCTGCCTACCATATATCCCGTCAAGTCACATCAGTCACGTTTTGGGAAACCCACAGTCTCCGGACTTCGCTCCCGCCGAGCAACGCCGACTCTGCCATCCCATTCGACTCTTCCTCATCCTTATCTCCCCCTTCTCTCATCTCACAGGAGCCCTTGCGCCGCCGCCCGGAACCCTGAACGTGGGTATCCCACACACCCCCCCTCTGTATACTCCAAGTACCTGCCGTCTCTCCACCACTCAGAGCCTTATCTCCACGGCCCCGGCCCTTGGCCCTCTTATCTGCAAACCCGTTTCGTGGTTTGTGTTACGGGATCGAAGCCCCCTTCTTCCCAATTTCGCCATCATCGACCACCACGCCTCGCAGCAATCCAGCCTATCCGAGCTGTCAGAACTGCCAGATACCCTCGCAGTCAGGCACATTACATCACTTGGAGCCGTGAGTGACACGCTTGGCGTTGACGCCCTTGCTGCCGCGAGCCCACTTCGCCTCCGGATACCTCCTCAGAAGCCTATCATCATCCTGGCATTTCCGCCATCACCTCCTTTGGAAACGCGGCAGCCCGCGATACTACGCCCACCACCCCCGACCCCGGACCTCTTGGACGGGGCCCAACCCAGCCCGGCTATCGCTATCGCAGCCGTTGCCCTACGGATTGACTGTTCTGCTCGACATATCCCTTGATTACCTGCCCACTGCCCGGCATGTCTAAATCCAACCAACCTGCCGTCATCAGGACGGCTCCCATCGCCATCGCTCCTAAGCCCGTCCGCCAAAACTCCTATCGGCAAGACAGCTGCAGCACCTCCCAGTCCTACCGCAGCATGCCCGGTCTCGAGTCGGCCGAGGCCTCCTACACTGGTCGAGCCCCAAGCCCTTGTGACATTTGCCAGCGCTTCCGAATCAAGTGCACGCTGACGGACGACGACGAAGAGGGCTGCCTGCCCTGCCAGAACCGCGGTTCTGAATGTTCTTTTGTCTCGAGCCCCCCCGCAAGGAAACGGAAACTCAACGGTCATCTCGCCGACGACGGGAAGCGAAGGTCAGTCAGTCCTGTGCTCTCCCACGTGGTTCGCGCGGCGCCCGCTCACCCCCCTCCCATCCCCTTGGCCCTGTCAGCCTGCCTCGCATCGTTTCCGGCTTGGCTGGTTCCGCCACTTGCCTCCTACTTACATGAATGCACCTCCTTTCCACCCCCCTCTTCTCCTATCATCCTACCCTCATCGGCACTCATCTAGGTCACGCTCCCCTTGAAGATCTCTAACATGTGATTGGTCCAATAGCTCTCCAGGGAGGTCTGATATCAGGCGGAGACGTCAACCTCAACCCAGCCTCTCTAGCACTGCCGGCAGCAGCTCTTTCATCGAAGACATGGCCAACGTCGGCGGCCCAACCCTTCTCAAGCGAACGCTGGGACTCCAGAACGACCGCTACAGCCAGTACATCGGACCAACCACCGACTTCGAGCCGTCCCTCATCAACCTTTCACCCTTTGATCCCCACGACGAAAGCCTCCTGTCACGAGGCACCCTGCGCAAGGTTAGTGACGACGAGACGTTCCTCATGCTCCCGGACATGAACACGCCAGGGTACGAGCATACTCTGGAGGACATCGAGGAGGTCGAGGCTGTCGTTCGCCCCCATGGGAAGAAGCTCGTCGACCTCTACTATCGCATCGTCCATCCAGGGTTTCCCATCATCCAAAAGACGGTTTTCTTGGAAAAGTACGAGCGAGGCTATCGTGAATTCTCACCACCTCTGCTGGCTGCTGTCTACATCCTGGCAATCAACTGGTGGGATCATGACGAAGAGCTTCGCCGGATCCCCAGGCCCGACGTCCGTGAGCTCGAGCGGCTGGTGCGCACAACACTGTCAGACGCCATGTATCGACCAAAGCTGTCCACCATACAAGCCGGGCTGCTTCTCTCCCAACGACCAGAAGGCGACCAGTGGGCGCCGACAGCGCAACTGGTGGCCATTGGTCAAGAGCTTGGCCTGCACTTGGATTGCACGGGATGGAAGATACCGCCCTGGGAGAAGGGTCTCAGGAAGCGACTTGCGTGGGCCTTGTACATGCAGGATAAATGGGGAGCGCTTGTGCATGGTCGGCCTTCCCATATCTTCGCATCAAACTGGGGCGTAAGGCCTCTGACAGAGCACGACTTTCCCGACGTGGAATGGGACGAGAATGACTCTGAGGATCAACTGGAGATTGAGAGGGGCCGCACACTCTTTTCACAGATGGTGCACCTCTCCCAGATTCTCTCCGAGATTCTTGACACGTTCTACACGCTGCAGGCGAAGCAGACAGTTACGAACAGCGGAGCCCAGGGAACGCACCTTGTGCTGTCTCTCGCCAAGCCAATCCAGCTGAAATTCAAGGAGGGGATGCGGGACTACCCACGGCTATCCGCATGGACAATTCTTTCACGCCCTCGCAGCTTCAACAGCGCCTATCCAGCATTGGGTATCTGCACTTGGATATTTCGCAACTGAAATCACGCTCCATCGACGTATCATCGGTTCGCTTGCTTCGCCGCATCGCCCTTGATCCGTACGTCATCACATTGCGAGTGCAGCCAAGGCCGCTTATTTCGGCCATGGACTTTGTCAACCGATTGACCCCTCGCACATTCGATCTTTTTGGTATTTCGCGTCAAAGACGAACTTTGCACTCATCGGCACGTTTGGCTCACTCCTTTGGGCTACGAGTCCGGGGAGGGAGGAGGCCGACTGGTATCGCCGACGTCTGGGGGAGTACCGCTGGACACTCTCGGTCAGCTCCAAGCCGGGTGAAGGCACGGGACTGACAGCATTCGCTATGAAGATGCTCGACATATCCACGGGACTTCTAAAGAAGCTCCCAGAAAAGCCGTCCATGAGCCGCAGCGGCAGCGTGGCCGACATTGCAGGGAGCGTGAGCAGCGGTCCGAGTGGCTTGTCAGCTCTGAGCAGCCTAGCCGGTGCTCCTTCGTTGGGAAGCTTCAGCGGGCTGCCGAGTCGTGACGCCAGCATGCTCACAGCCCCCAAAGCTTGGAAGATGTGGACGAGAGCAGTGATGAAGACATGTATGATGATTTTGCACCGACGGTTGGCATGACGAGAATGGCTGGTTAATGGTCCGGAAGTCACCGGGCAGAGGTTGAAATGAGCCCTCTTGACAGTGGATGTTCATTTGAGGACGTAAAGAGCTGTCTTTTCGTCAGGAGGACACATCATGAGCGACGATCGACATTGTAAAGGACCCTGCGTGCAGGACAAGTCTTGTTTCACGACGACACAAATACCCCTGGAATGAATGAGCTGGACGTGGTAGATGGGCTGAGGGTCAAAGGAGAAGATTCGGGCACTTGATGTGTCGCGGGTTCGTATACACCCTATGATGTAGAGAGCGATGTCGGAATGAATACATGAAGTTGTCGACGTCGAAGGCTCATTTTTGGACTTTGGTGAGCAGGTCGCGCCTGGCGGCATTCTTCTCGGGATAGACCGGCAGCCCAGCAGCTTCAGGCCGTGATGTGTCAATCATACGTGTCGAGCAATGGGATGCGAACACGAGTTGTTCGCATGGACTTGAAAGATGAAGCTGCCAGGAGATGACGGCGAGTGGCAAACCCTATATACCTGGGAAACATTCCCGTATTAAGGTGAGCGGGATTGCGACCATGACGCCGTGAGGCACGCCATCGTGGCGTGCGCGTGCCGTGCCGTCCACGTTCTGCGCCTCCGCCTGGGGGGGGGAACGTAATGGGAACGATGGGGCTCACATCACACATGTCCTGTTGGCGCTGAGCCTGGATGGCGCATGTGTTCTCGGTGTGATGTGTGCTATGGATGGCCGTTGTCGTCACGGCCGGGCCATGTGATGGTGAGGGCAGCGCCTGCGAGCGCGGTTGAGGCGGCGGGGCGGGGAGACGGCTGGGGATCAGGGTGAAGATTTTGTGTCTTTCTCCTTCGATATTCTTGGCAGTCGACACGATGAGTGCTGAGTTGACCTTGGCCGAAGAACTCCATCCGTGGGTGCAGAGTTGAGCAACACATTGTCGTCTTCCATCTTTGCAGGTTTGTGTTTGGCGGCATCATTCTTAAGATTTCCAAACTAGAATCTCTGAATTTCAGCTTGTGATTAGACGGCGTGTCGCTCCTAGCCTCAGGACATTTCACGACGCGGACTTGGTGGTCTGGTCATTTTGTGTTATGGGCCTTGCTGCTGTGGTACGTTGAGGCGAGGACTCAGGCACGGGTGAACAGCAGAAAAAAGGAATATGTTTCGATGATGATCAGTCATAGCTGCTACTCGTTGTAGAGATTGTAGCAAGTGCAGGCATCAAAATCTCAGGACACACGCATGATAGTATTGGATGAGAACTGACGCACATGCTTCTTGACGCACCCAGATATCTTCCCAGACGCGATCTCACAGAGCTAATAAGGAAGTTCTTAAAGTAAGGCATCCCCAGCAGAACTCCTGACGCAGACTACCTACGCTGAACTTTCTCAGTCCTCAAAAATTCCCCATGTGTAGCCTCCAACAGCGCCGCAGGCTCGAAACGTGAGCCATGCGCCTCGCACCAGAGGTTTCCAACGGCGCAACCATTTCGTCTGCTCCGACGGTGCAACGCCCGACACGCAACCCCCCGGAGACCGTCGGTCAGTCCTCCAACGGCCCAATCAAGGGCGCCAGCATCCTCGGCAAGAGCACGGCAGCATCGCCCTCAAAGACGAAATCCACATCGTCCCGCCTGTCACGCCCGACCTCGAGATCAACAACACAAACCCTGGCCCCCCGCGCGCGGCCGAGCTCCACGTACGCCGCCGCAGGAAACACGCGCGCGCTCGTGCCGACGACGAGAACGAGATCGACCGTCTCGGCCTCGATCCAGCCGTCGATCGAATCCAGCACTGCGTCGTCGAGCGCCTCGCCGAACCAGACGACGCCCGGGCGCAGCAGCGACGAGCACCGCGGACACGAGGGGAGCGCGTCGCGGCCGATGGACGGGAGGGGGTGCGCCGCGTCGAGCAGCGGCGGCGTCTGGCCGGGCGCGACGTCCGCCGACGCCGGCGCCAGAGCCGGCACGAGGGGATCGGCGAGGTTCTCTTCTTCTTGGTAGCCGCATCCCTGGTGCTGCGTCTCGCCGCTGCCGGCCCTGCTGTCGTGGCCATTGCCCGAACACCGCAGCCCGAAGAGGGTTGCCGTGCAGAGCGCGCAGCTGGGCGGCCGGGTGGCCGGCGCGCTGCGACAGGCCGTCGACGTTCTGCGTCAGGCACAGAAAGCCGGGGGCCGCGCGAGCGAGGGCGGCGAGGGCGCGGTGGGCCGGGTTTGGCCGGGCGGCGAGGGCCATGTGGCGGCGGTAGGCGTAGAAGAGCCAGACGAGGGCCGGGTCGGCGGCGAAGGCCTCGGGGGTGGCGAGGCGGGTGGCGTCGTGGCGGCGCCAGAGCCCGCCGGCGCCGCGAAAGGTGGGGAGACCGGAGGAGGCGGAGAGGCCCGCGCCGCAGAGGGCGAGGATGCGCGGCGTGTGGAGGCTGGTGAGGAGGGCGTGGAAGGCGGCGAGGTCGGACGACATGGTGCGTTGTGGCGTCTGCTGGTCTTGACGTTCTTGAAGCTTTGGCAATAGGTGAACGTTAGGGGGTCACATGTCCGATAGCGTGGATGTTAATGATGACACGCAGGGTCATTGCCTGGTTCGGGATATATTGGGGGCATCACGTCGGCATCGCGCCTGTGATTGGCCTCTGCGGAGGTTGCACCACTGCTGACGCTGTCTAGGCGCATGCTGACTTGCATGTTGAGATGATGCTCCTTTGCTTTCAACACCAGTTCAAGGACAATGAAGGCCGTGTCACCATGACGCTTCCATATGTCCATTTTCAAGGCCACCCTATCTTTACTACTCATTCACCAAGACGTAGCGGTACCGCGGTTTACCCTCCTCGACATCCACAATCGCTGCGTTCGCATCCGCCATGGGCCGCACCTGCACCCACGGCTTGACCCCGTTGCGCACGCTCAGCTCAAACATGTCCCGAATCTCCGCCGGCGATCCGATGGCCGAACCCGTTATCTTGACCCGCCCCGCAAGCAACGGGCCCGGATGGAACGAGAACTGCCCGTCATCCGGGTTGCCCACCTGGACGAACGTGCCGTCGCGCCGCAACAGGCCCAGATACTCCTGCAGGGGCATACGGCTCGAGCTGACAGTCGAGATGATTATGTCGATGCTTTTGGCGTTCTCCTTGGCCCAATCGGCATCCCCGTCTGTCGATATGTACGCGTCGGCGCCCATCTGCAGCACCTCGTCCCTCTTGTCCGCCTTCCGGCTGATGCCCACGACGCGGTCAGCACCGAGGGCCCGCGCAAAGAGCACGCCGAAATGGCCCAGGCCACCGACGCCAACGATGCCCACCGTCTTGCCCGGCCCTGCCCCGTGAAACCGCAACGGCGAGTAAACGGTGACGCCGCCGCAAAGCATGGGCGCAGCGTCCTCCGACGCGAGGCCGTCGGGAATCTTGATGACGAACGCTGAGGGACATCGGTGGTAGGTTGCGTGGCCGCCCATCGTCTTGCCTCCGTTGAAGTGGAAGCCGCCGTACGTATGCACGGCGCGAGGGCAGTAGTTGACGGAGCCTTCATCGCACTCACCACACGACCCCGCCGGGGCACCGCGGCCGAAGCAGCTGTCTGACTGCGCACCGACGCCGACGCGGTCCCCGAGCTGAATGCCGCCCGAGGCTTGGGAGCCAACACGGACGGCGACGCCGACGATTTCATGGCCGACACAGATTGGATACGGAGCAGGGCCCTGTCCTGGTGGTCAGCTGCTTTCTGCAGAGGACGAGTGGGCAGGCTAAGGCGAGCACAGAGATGGTGGAAAAGCTTACCCAGCCAGAGCGCAGCATGTGTAAGTCAGAACCGCAAATGCCGCTATGCGTGACTTTGATGTCAACATCTGTGTCTTCCCAAGCCTTGGGCTCAAATGTCCCCCAGACCATGTTGCCCTTGACCGAGGCCTCGTCATGGCCGATCCAGCCCTCGAACTTGTAATCATCTGCCATGGCGGTTGTCCTATTGTGCTTCCAGGTGTCTCTCACGTGTCTGTATGTGCGCGCCTCGTCCGTGTTGTCTGCTGCGGATCACAAGCTGTCGATTGTAGTGTGTCGGGGGGGGCAGACAAAGCGCTCCTGGCCAGGAGGCACATTCGGCCTTTTCAAGCGCTTCCAACATCGGCCGGCAAAGGTCTTCCTGAGCTCCCACGACCCCCAACCCATGACGTCTACACCCCATCGTCTACAAAACCTTGAAGCCCAGCGATTGCGCCGCTACGACTTTCTTTACTTTTTGTTTTGCCTTCCTTTCTTTGCAGCGTGGCATACCAACTCGGTCCGTTGACCCTGTTGAGGCAACACAAGGTCGCCGATCACGTCGTGCGGAAATCGACGATGCCGAAGCCCCTCCAGAATCGAATTGTGCAGTACGCCATGCCCATTGGCCGCCCTAGCTGTTCACCTGCACGGCACGACCCAAAACCCGGATCACTGTCTCAAGGCAAATGGCAGCTCCGAGCGCAAGACGCAGCACCTGCTCGCTAGAACCTCGGAAAGATTCACATAAGGGCCGCGTCTATCACGGGCGCAGAGACAGACGTCATCTCGACAGGCGGAAGGATGCCGGG